GCCATTAACCTGTATGCTCTGGAGCTATCTCCCGGTAGAGTGCTAGGATTGAGTTGAACTCTAGATTACCCAGATGGCATAAGTGAATTGTTTGGTGGTGTGGGGGTACCACTGCTTTACATTGAAATTGGGTGCAAAATCTTAGTTGGCAATCAGATGTGAGACCAGTGTCAGAATTGTACCAGGTAATTGGACTTTATCCTGTTATCCTTAATGTGATTGAATTGTAGATGAAATACATAAGGTTTAGGAAAGTACTCTTCTTGATTAAAACCGTATGAAATTTGTTGGGGTTTTCTTTCTGGCCCAGTATAAGGTGGCCTTTGGTAGTAGTCCAGGTACAGAAGAATCAAAGTTCATTTAGCCACTTTTGAGTTTAGTATTTCTTTTCTTTACTTATATAGTAGATCCAGTTTGTTAATTATATACCCCAAATCTTACCCTACAGATGTACTGTCCACTTTTTCTATCACTATTAAGAGAATTGTGTTAAAATTCTACCTCTTGGTGATTGTGGATTTCTCTATCTCCATAATTTTCCTTATACATTTGATTTTTGTTTTTTTTTTAAAGTTTATTTTGAGAGACAGAGAGTAGAGAGCACTGGTGCAAGTAGGTGGAGGGGCAGAGAGAGAAGGGGAGAGAGAATCTCAAGCAGGCTCCATGCCTAGCATAGCCTGACATGGGGCTGAAGATGGGGCTCCATCTCACAATTGTGAGCCGAAACCAAGAGTCAGACACTTAATCAACTGAGCCATCCCAGTGTCCTCCCTTATATATTTGAAGTTATAAAAGTAGATGCTCACATATTAAGGATATCCTATCTCTTAATGATTTGCCTTTTATCATTACAAAATATTCCTCCTTATTTCTACTAATGTTTTCTTCCTCAAAGTCTTCATTATCAAAGAATTAACACTAAATTAATTTGGTTAATCTTGCATAAAAAATTATTTTTCAAGTTTTCACACCCTCTATTTTTAAATTATGTTTTTAGTAAACAGCATACTACTAGGTTTTATAATACTAAATTTTTATACTTGGAAACATGTCAGTCTTTTAATTACTTAATGTAATTCATTTTACATAGGCCGCATCGCTTTCATAGTTTTTTTTTCTATTTTCACATATCTGCATTATGTTTGTTCACTTTTCTATATTTTTAGCAGTCAATACCATTTATTTTGCCTTTTTTCTTTAATTTCTTATATTTACATAATCATTTTAATGGTTACCTTTGGTTGTTTGTTTTTGAGAGAGAGAAAGAGACAGAGCACAAGCAGGGGAGGGGCATAGAGAGAGGGAGACAAAGAATCCGACACAGTCTCCAGGCTCTGAGCTGTCAGCACAGATCCTGACATGGGACTCGAACTCAGAAACCGTGAATCATGATCTGAGCAGAAATCTGATGTTTAACCAACTGAGCGACTCAGGCGCCCCTTAATGGTTACCTTAAAGATTGCAGCATGTGTCCTTAATGTCATGTCACAATGCATATTAATTCACCTCTTCCCTGTTCTGCTAGATGCCTAGATCTGTAAACTATTTGCATGCCTCTCAGCTTTTATGATAAATATGTATGTGTTCTGTTCTGCACATATTTATAATCCAGAAGATACTATTAGCATTGTTTTGTACATTATTTTAAATTATTATATCCACATATATAGTGTTTCTTGTGTATTTTAGACTGGCCTGCACATTCATGCTTCTCTCTGGTATCATGTTTCTACCTACTAAAAAAGAAACTTTAGTGTTTCTTTGAGTGGTAACTGCTGGCAATGATTTGCTTGCCGAAGGAAAGTTTTGTTCTCTTTCATTATTGAAGGTTGTTTTTACGAACAAGTAATTCTAATCTGGCAATTATATGTACTGAGTAAATATCTTATTCCATTATCTTCTGCATTCAAACATTTTGTTCAGATCAACCATCTATTTTACTGTCATTCCTTTTAAGAAATATTATATATTTCATAAATCTTAATGCTCTTAAGATTTCTCAGTGTCTGGTTTTCAGGTTTTACTATGATATTCTTAGGTGTGTGCTTGTGTGTTTGTACTGCTTGAAATTCATTCCGTTTTCTGAAGTAGTGAAATACTGTGTTTCCATGCTTCTGGGAAATTCTTTGACAATCTTTTTTTATTATTTCTATTCAGTTATCTTTCTCCTTCTCAACTGGGACTCTATTTTACTGATTTTAGGTTTACTGATCTGTTTCACATATCACTAATCTGTATCCTAATATTTAGTATTTTTTGTTATGTATGTAATTGATATTTTTTCACTGACTGCTCTGCTAGTTAACTAATGCAGTTAATTGAACAATTCAGTCTATACTTCAACGTGTTTTCTAATTTCATGTATTTAGATATTTTATTTTTTCAGCTCTAGAATATCTTTTTGATAACCTTGAAGAGGATTCTAATTTCCTGGTGAAATTTATCTATCTTCTTTCACATAGTTTTTTTCCTTCTAGTTTCTCTAAAATAGTAATCATGGTGGATTTTTGTTCATTATTATCTTTTCCACTCTCTGACTCATCTTTTAGATGTCTTCTAGCTTCTCTTTTGCTGTCATTGTTGGTGTTTTGTCTTTGTCATTGGCCATAACTTCTTCTTCTTGATATGTGTGATAATTTTTTATTATCTGTTCCATGTTATGTATAAAGAAGCCTAGGGGTTCAGGGTAGACTTACTTTTGTCTTGAGAAGTTTTCATCTTTCTTACATTTGGAAGATAGGCTGCCTGATAGTTCCAATTCAATTGGCAATTGGGTTTAGTCAGCAAATAGTTTTAGTAAGACACATATATCTTGCTGTACTTTCTACTGGGAGCCCATATGCCTCTATTTTTTCAGCTCTAAAGCAATTGGGGATTATGTTCTGATATTCAAATCTTCAAAACTCAGTTCTCTACCCTATATTCCAATCTTCCTCAAAATCAGGCTAACATTGCAAAGGGAAGGTAGGCTATGTTCTAAGGAAACCCCCCTCTTCCACTGGGTCTTTAATTCCTGAGTACAACAGATTATAGAGATTTCTTCCTTTAAAGGATTCAACCTGTCTCCCCAGCCTCCCACAGAGGACCTAATTTCAGCAAATGTGTTGTAGGGAAAACTGACTTTGAATCTGATTAGACCAGACTGTCTAATCTATCAGTCTGGTCTCTCTTATACACTAAGAAGCTTCAGGTTCCTCATTCTCCAATATAGGCATTCTGAGTGGGATGGCCAAGTGGATCCTTAGTTTCTTTTTTCTTCTTCTTTTTTTTTTTTTTTTACAAATAGTTTATTGTCAAATTAGTTTCCACATAAGACTCAGTGCTCATCCCCAAAGTGCCCTCCTCCATGCCCATCCCCCCCTCCCTCCCACATCCATCAGGGAGAGAGGCAAACCATGAGAGACTCTTGAATGCTGACAAAACCTGAGGACTGGTGGATCCTTAGTTTCTACTCAGGAGTATCACATCACAAGGAACAATCACTTTTGTTCCAGGGGAGGGAAAATACTGATATTTCTAATTGTTTTCCTGTCTTTGTAATTTTTAAGCCTTTTATCTTCATTTCTTTCATAGTTCTCTGATACTTTAAAAATATAATTAAAAATTGTGTTCATATTGTACAATTGTTTTTATCATTGGTTTCGTTTGGGGGGGGGCAAGGAACTTACCTACCAAGACCTCCCTGGAATTGAGAGCATTTTCTTTATTTCATTTTATAACCAAAGAAACACCAACAATTGAGAGACAATTCTTATTATCATCCTGTCCTTTATTTTTTTGGTTGGAAAATTGACGTAAATTTAAGTAATTTATTTAAGATGGTAAAGGTTAGTGGTAAAGAAAATCTCAAACAAAAACTTCTGACATCTCTTGACTTTCACTTTCCTCATTACACCTAGATTAGTACTATAACAGTCAGGATTCAGTCAGAAAAAGTAAAACCACATGAGTAATTTCAGGGGCTTCTGGGTAGCTCAATCAGCTGGGCATCCAACTTCGGTTCAGGTCATGATCTCATGGTTTATGGGTTTGAACCCTGTGTTGGGCTCTGTGCTGACAGCTAGCTCAGAGCCTGGAGCCTGCTTCAGATTCTGTAGCTCCCTCTCTCTCTGACCCTCCCCTGCTCACGCTGTCTCTCTCTCTTTCAGAAATAAAATAAAATATTTAAAAATAAATAAGTAAATAATAAACATTAAAAAATTTTAAAAAATCTTTTAAAGAAAGAAAAAGTAAAACCACATTAGTAATTTTAGAGGGATGGAGTTAAGTGCAAGAATTGGGTAAACAGATATTGAAGAAGAAAAGTTAAGGGAGACATTGTGCTACTAACTGGTTAGTAGGCATGAAATAATAACTGTAAAAAGGTGATTTCATTCTAAGGAGCAAAGAGGAGCACTTGAGGGTTAATGAAATCTAGAAGACCATAGAGCTGACTGCGTGGGTCTGATACTCAGAACTCTGACAATAGGTAAGGCTAAGCTGGTGCAGAAGATTTGGGTTATTGGCCGAAAGCTCAATGGTCCAAGACTCAGAACTCTGAGGATAACATAGTGATGCTGGTATCTCTCGGACTGACAATGAAGTTGGTCTGAAGTAAATTTTAAAAATATACATAAATAAGTAAGTAACTTTAAAAAATATACATAAATAAGTAAATTTAAAAAATATACATAAATAAGTAAGTAAAAATATACATAAATAAGTAACTGCCAGTGTAAAACGTGTTACTGAGGTGATATTGACATACAGGAAGCAAATTGATCTCCCAGATTTCCAAACTCTCATTCATTCTCCTTATTGCAGGTCCCTATAAGAAGAGGGCTTGGGACAGCAGAGATGTGGTCCCTGCGATGAAATGTACAAAATGGGAAGGGGATTTGAGACTGAGAAACTGGCACACAACCCATGTGTCATACCTTTCCCCAGAAAATGTAAAAAAACAGATTTTAGGCAAAATGGATCTTCTAATTGTTTAAAATAATGAAGAGTAAGTAGAAACATTCCAGGAATGACCTTTTTTATTCCATACTTATTTGGGTACATTTTTTACTACTGACGGCCTTTGTTTCCCACCTTTGTCCTGTTGAGGCTGCATGCTAGATTGACTCTGAAGTCTTTGCAGTGGTGTTGCAGGCTGGGTCTGAAGTTTCTGCTGTGACTTTGAGGGTTGAGCTTTTGGTTGTTTTGCAGACTGAGTTGGAACCTTACTCTCTTTTCTTGAAGGAGCCTTACTCCCTTGTCTTAAAGAAACCTTACTCTCTGCTTTTGAAAGAACGTTACTCTCCTGTCTCAAAGGAGCCTTACTCTCTGGCTTTGAAAGAACTTTACTCTCCTGTCTCAAAGGAGCCTTACTCTCTGCTTTTGAAAGAACTTTACTCTCCTGTCTTGAAGGAGCCTTACTCTCTGCTTTTGAAAGAACCTTACTCTCCTGTCTCAAAGGAGCCTTACTCTCTGGTTTTGAAGGAAGCTTTTGCACTGCTTTTGGGGAAACTGTTTGTGCTGGTTTTGCAGGTTGAGTCACAACCTTTTGCTGTTGTGAAGGAACTTCTTGCATTTGTTTTGAAGGAACCATTGGTGCTTCCTTTAAAGGAACATTTTGCGCTTGTTTTGCAACTTCAGCTTCCTTTTCCTTTGTTTTTTTCTGCATGCAAAGACAAATAAGACAACCTAACAAGAGAAGCAACCAAAGAAGTGAGACTACCAACACGTAATACTTCTTTATCCTTTCTTTCTTCGGGGGTGGTCCACTATCAACACTACCTCCATTGCCCCGTTTTAGGCAGTTGGGTGGGTCCCACAAACGGTTGCAGTGGCAGTGATGTTTATTGTTGCAAATACCCCTCATGTTACAGAACAGAGGTGAACAACTACTATCCAAGCGAGATATATGGACACACCTCCTGTCAATGCAGAGATGTTCTGGGCCACACTCTGTGCCATCTATCACTTCACCAATATCAAGTATGGGTATCCCAGGGTGGTAGTCAATACCCCAGCAGACGCCGTCATTGAAGTGAACCTGATGCACAGTAGAATGTTCATTCAGAGTGGGAATTTCTTTCACATTCTTACACTGAACTCTGCCACACAGGCTGTCTGAGATATTGCATTTTATATATGAAGCATTTTTGAGACCACAGTTCCCAAAACGGTCACCGAGAGTGTTTATGTGTTTGTAGCAACTCTGATCTGCACTCATTGCCTCTTGGCCAAAAATCTGCTTACACTGCTCATTGCGGTTATTACATTTCTTTGCATAGCAATAGGCACTTTCATTACAGGGAATTCCATCCTCCACATAGACGTCATCTGGGCACATGTGGGATATACCATCGCACCACTCCGGAAGATCACATTCATTGACCTGCTTTCTACACACTGTTCCCGATGGTAATAATTGGCAGTCCTTGCAACAAAGCCCAAAACCGCATGTGGAGCCAAAACTCAAAGTGCAGTTTGACAGACAGCAGGCATCTCTTGAACAATTCTGTAAAGGTCCACAGTCACACTCCTCTTCATCTTCAACAACACCATTCCCACAACGTGCCTGTGCAAACAGGTCCTTTGTGTGTATAGTGTAGAACAAACATTTTGCCTCCTGTATAGAATATTTCCAAAAATAAGAATAACTACAATTGCTAAATTTAATTATTGGTGGGTTTGAAGGATGCATTATACATTTAGGCAGTGCACATGTGCAAAACTCAGTATCATGAATCATACCCAAATTATGGCCAATATGATGAGCCATTGCAATTGCAACAATGCCCAAGGTTCTTTCTACACTAGTAACAATTGCACAATTAAGGTGTGATTTACACAATCCTTGAACATAGCCTAAACCACTCATTCCTCGTACTGTCTGATTTATAAAAAGATGTACAGTGTCATGTGGTAGGCGGAACTCAAGGTTTTCCTTTTTCCAAAGGCAAAAATATCTCAGAGATCTCCTTATATCATTTACTTCAATGTAGTTTCTCTCAGTCCAGAACTCCAAACCAAACAATAACAGTTTAAGACCCATGACGTCATAAATGGAATCTACTATATTTACCATAGCATATAGGTCCTCATTAAACTTTGAAATGTTCTTTTTTATATGAAGATATAGACTATGGTCCACCACCACGGCTATTTCTATAACAAACATATGGAGCCACCAGCCTGAGTAAGAACTTTGTTTCTGAGTAGAATTATTAATCTCTTGAGACTCCCATTGGGGTACAATTTTCTCTTGCACAAAATCAGAGTTCATGGTTGGGAATTGGGTCTCCTCACTCTCCAGTTTATATACCAGATGTTCAAATTTAGTAGAAAAAGTCACAGGCTTAATTTCATAAGCAATGTCATTTATCTGTAACAGTCCTCGAAAACCATCAAAACAGTAACTGAGGGCAACCAGGGACTCTGGGTCCCCCTCCACGTAACCATGATAGTAGCAGTCATTTTGCACAAAAGGTTGGTCCTCAAGGAGAGCACCCTGGTCTGAATAGGTGAACACTGGAAGGTGTCTGGATAGCAAATACTTCTTGACTTTTATGTGGACAATGTGTCTCTTGCCCCCAAAATGCAGGCTGTAAGAGAGCCAACCTGAAGGCTTCATGCCTCTGCCAGCACCAGGTATCCTCAAAGGAATCACCACTTCTGGAGGACTATGATATTGGGGATGCTCAGCTTGGGTGTGTCCACAAAAGGACAGAAACAGCCCAAGCCAATGTAGCAGAAATATGATCCTCATGTACACCAGACCTTTAATCACAATCATTATAAAGCCACCATTATGGAAATGTTTGTCCAGATACTCTGGCTTCTTATCCTGAGCTGGCCAATATGCAGGGCTAATCAGTAAGGATCTGTGTTCTGGCAGAGTTGAACCATTAGAGTATCAGCCCTATAAGTAAGACAAAAAGCAACATATGAATGCAAGTGGTTATGCCTGGTGGAGAAAAAAGAGAAAGACATGCAATAAAAGTAATTTAGTGTTTTGCTCAGGGAATGACTCAGGAAACTTCCTAGAATTTGCTCTTAAGTATTAACAGAGCAAAGAGGGTCTCAGGGTATATAGGAGAATGAAAACTGGCCATAAATTTGTAGTTATTAAACCTAGATGATGGAAAAATAAGGTTTTATTGTACTATTCTATAAGTATGCATATGCATGACCATTTCCAAAACAAACTGTTAAAACAAAAGGTTAGTCTTAAGGTAAGGTGATCATATGTTGCTGAGATTGTCCGGGTTTACCCATGTTAAATTACCGTAAATAATAATATCTCTTTTTTTTCCAACTCAACTCATTACTTAAGAGACTTTTTTTTGTAAAAAGCACTCATATAATTTTTAAATCTTTTTCATGGTGCTTACCACATACTTTCCTGAAGCAAAAAGGTTTATTTTCTTTTTTATTCTTTACGTTATTCTCTTACTAGGCTTGTCAGACTAGAAATACTCAAGAGTATTATTTGTGTCTTTCACAAATGTTAGTATCTCCTATAAGGTTCATCTTAATTCTTCATTTAATAAAAAAAAATGGTTGACTTGGCTTTTATTGTTCCTTGGAATATTTAATCAATAGTATTTATACTTTATTACATTTTTAATCTGGAACCTTATTCAAAAAACTTGGCCAATTTAGTTTCTGGAACAAGGTCATATAAACTCAGGTTCCTTGCTAGTTCCCTCTCAGTATAACTAAATGCCCTGAAAACATGTGAAAACTAAAAATCAAAATGCAGACTGGCTAAAGACCTCTAGACTTGAGGGATGACACCAGGTGAGTTCACTGAGATTTCTTTTAATGTCTCATGTATATATTCCAAATTGGATACTGGAGAGACCTTTGGTGCAGAACAACCAGCAGGCATAGACCAAAAACTCAAGAATAATTTGCACTTTCTGGACAAATGATAGAGAATGGAAAAACACAACAACAACAACAAACGCAGTAAGGTTTTCCAGCACTTGCTCTTGAGCCACGACACATGTATGATTCAGAGTGGAAACTTCAAAGACTTATAGGCCAATACAAAACACAGTCCACAATCAGTGCACTGGTGGAATGTTTAATCCACTTACTATGACAATATCATAGAAGGAAAGTCTAACCCTCATCAATATCTAGATAACTAGTTAATCAATCTGTCTTCAGAGGCAGCAATAAAATCTCAACATTCTGACCCACTTTCATCTCAACAACATGACATATAATAGAAGGATCCATCATAAAGTCATCTTTCCCACCCTTCCACCAAATGACATAAAGAGACAGAAGTCTGCTGGCTTCTGCTCTTCTTGTCTCCAAATCTGAGCATGGCCCAATTATACCAGGTAATCCACAAAGGGCATCAGACTAGATCAAACAGAAGAAAAGATCAGTGGACTCCAAGAAAGGTCATGGTTAATTATTCAGTCAAAAGAGAGAAAAAAAGACTGGAAAGAATGAAGAAAGAAAAGGACTTAGAGCCAACAAGAAGACCAAGATACATGTGATAGAAATTCCAGGATGAGAAAAGACCAGAAAACTAATTCAAAGAAATAGTGACTTAAAATTTCCCAAAACTAAAGAATGAATTGAGCATCCAGATGCACAAAAACCAAAATATCTCAAATAAGAGGAACCCAAAGAAATCTACACCAAGTCTTATTATAATCAAATTATAAAAGGTCAAAGACAAAAATTTGAAAGTGGCAAGAGAGAGCAATATATGACACACAAAAGAATCACCATAAGACCATGAGTGAAATTTTGAACAGAAAATTTTCAGGTCTAGAGACAGTGAAATGATGTAGTCAAAAAGTTTAAAGGAAAAACAAATAAACAAACACCTGTCAACAAGAAGGCTATACTTGGCAAAATTGTTTTTTAAAATAAAAGAGACATGAGGCTCCTGGGTGGCTCAGTAGGTGGAGTATCCTACTTTGGCTCAGGTCATGATCTCGTGGTCCATGAGTTCAAGCCCTGTGTTGGGCTCTTGCTGGCAGCTCAGAGCCTGGAGCCTGCTTTGATTTTGTGTCTCCTTCTTTCTCTACCCCTTGCCTGCTCACACTCTAACCCTCTTTCTTTCTCTCTCAAACATAAATAAACATCAAAAATAATTTAAAAAATAATAAAATAAAATAAAAGAGACATAAAGATATGCCCAAACAAAATCTAAGGGAGTTTATCACCATTAGAACTGCCTTCCAAGAAATGCTAAAATGAGATTTTCTAGTTTAAATAAAAGGATGCTAAATAGCAACATGATAGCATAAAAATGGAATATATATATATGTTAGTCATATATAAATTTATATACGTGTATATATATATACACACATAGTTGGACATGTTATTATTCTGTGGTGGGTAAACCACTTTTAATTCTAGTATAAAAGTTAAGAGACAAAAGTACTCAAAGTAACTATAACTACAAAAATTGTCAAAAGATACACAATAAGAATAGATGCAAATTGTAACAATAACATAAAATATGAGTTGAAGAGGGGCGCCTGGGTGGCTCAGTCTGTTGGACATCCGACTTCGGCTCAGGTGATGATCTCACGGTTGGTGGGTTTGAGCCCCGTGCCTGGTTCTGTGGTGACAGCCAGCTCAGAGCCTGGAGCCTGCTTCAGATTCTGTGTCTCCCTCTCTCTCTCTGACCCTCCCCTGCTCATGCTGTCTCTCTCTCTCTCTCTCAGAAATAAATAAAACATTAAAAAATTTTTTAAAAATATGAGTTGAAGAGAAGATAAAGTGTAGAGTTTTAGTATGTATTTGAGCTTAAGTTGTTTTTAGAATACCTTAACTGTAAGATATGTTGTATAAGCCCTAAGGTAACTGCATATGTACGCCTGTCTACACAAACACATACGCCTACACACACACACACTATAGAAGTTACACAAAAGAAGAAGAGAAAGTAATCAATAAATATCAACACACACACAGAATCAATGAAACACAAAGGGAGACAAAAGAGGAAAAGACAAAAAAAGAAAAATTAACAGAAAAGTAACAAAATGTCAATATTAAATTAGTCCTTATTGATAAGAACTTAAAATATAAATGGACTAAACTCCATCAAAAGTGATGGAAGTCACATAAAGTGACTGAATGGATCTAAAAAATAAGATTCAATATACACTGCGTAGGAAAAACTCAGTTTAGATTAAAAATAAAACACAAGTTAAAAATAAACATTGGAAAAAGATATTCCATGTAAATGGGCACCAGAAGATCAGGAATGACTACACTTACATTTGACAGAATAGAGTTTAAGTCAAAACTGCCATAAAAGATATATATACATACACACACACATATATATTCACCCAACACCAGAGCATCTAACTATATAAAACAAACATTCACTGAACTGAAAGGAGAAAGGGATAGCATTACAATAATAGTAGGAGACTTCAATACCCCTCTTTCAATACATGATAGAAACTCCAGATTACATATCAACAAGGAAGTAAAGGATTAAAAATTTTAAACTATGTTTATTTCTTAGAGACAGAGAGAGACAGAGCATGAACAGGGGAAGGGCAGAGAGGGAAGGAGAATCTGAAGCAGGCTCCAGGCTGAGCTGTCAGCACAGAGCCTGATGAGGAGCTCGAACCTACGAACCTGTGAACCTACGAACCTACAAACCTACAAACCTAAAGGTCATGACCTGAGCCAAAGTCAGACACTTAACCTACTGAGCCACCAGGCACCCCAAGGAAGTAAAGGATTTAAATAGCACTATAGACCAAATTGATCTAAGAGTCCTATACAGAATGTTCTACCCAATAGCAGCAGCATACACATTCTTCTCAAGTAGCCATGGATGTTTCTCCAGAATAGATCACATATTTGGTCACAAAACAAATCTCAACAAATGTAAAAAGATTGAAATTTACCAAGGTATCTTTTATAATCACAATGGAATAAAACCAGACATCAAAAGCAGAAGGAAAAGCAGAAAATTCACAAATAGGTTGAAAAATTAAAACATATTCTGGAATAGCATGGATCAACAAAGAAATAAAAAAATAAATTAGAAAAGACCTTGATACAGATAAAAATGAAAACATACATATTAACCTTTATGGGGTGCAGAAAAAGTTGTACTAGAAGTAAAGATTATTATAGTGAGAAATGCCTCAAGAAAAAAGAAAAATCTCAAGTAACTTTATACACTTGAAGGTACTAGAAAACGAAAGAACAAAACTGAAAGCTGGTAGAAAGAAAATAATGAAGATCAGAACAGAAATAAATGAAATAGAGACTTAAAATACAATAGAATAGATCATTGGAACTAAGAGCTGGTTCTTTGAAAAAAATAAAACAAAATTGATAAGCATCCAGCTAGACTTACCAAGAAAAAAAAAAAGAGGGCTCAAATAAACAAAATCAGAAATAAAAGAGATATAGCAAAGGATCATAAGGGACAACTATAAACAATTATACACTATGATCAGGAGGTATTTATCCTTGGGATGCAGAGTTTGTTAATATATAAAAATTACAGATAAAATAATGATTTAAAAAGATCCAGAATAAGTGTTTGACAAAATTCAACACACCTCCATGATAAAAACTCTCAAAAAATTAACAGTGGAAGGAATTATCTCAGCATAATAAATGCTATATATGAAAAATCCCACATTTAACATTATACTCAATTGTGGAAAAAGGAAAGCTTTTCCTTCAAAACAGGGAGAAAAACAAGGACCCCCATACTCACTCTCCCTGTTCAACATGGTAGTGGACATCCCAGCCAGAGCAATTAGGCCAGAAAAAGAAATAGAAGGCTTCCAAATTGGAAATGAAGAAGTGAAATTGTCTTCTGTTGGCAGCCAACAGGATCCTCATGGAAAGTCATAAAAATTCCTTGGAAGAAAAAAAAACCATAAAAAATAA